GAACGCAATTTCGCAGATTTGACTATCAGCTCCCGGTAGAAAGTTTTGTTAAATGATTGTTTCCAATTGTTTGATTTATAATAGTTTTATAATAGTTTTAAAATAATAAAAAAAAACTAGATATTGTAACACTTTAAATTAATGATTCCAAAAATTTCTGTAGTGCAACCCATTTATTTATTAATTCATGTTTTTATTCTAATTATTTGCAATTCATTTTTAAAATCATGGTGAATTAAAAAAAAAATGAAGTCATAGGTCAATCGTTTTTTATTTTTATTGATTAATTTAGATCAGGTTTACTTGCATGTTTTTTTTTTTTCATTCATTATTGAAAGCATGATTATAATATGTATTTCGCAAAAAATTCTGAAATATTCTGATGTATATTTAAAAAGATTTATGTTGACTTAAAGAAAAATGTAAAGAACGGGGTGGGGTTTGATACTTGCTACGTCACATGCTGTGATCGCTAATGATAATTTAACAGAAAAAAAAAACGGTTTTGACCACAAGTATGTAATGTCAATAATCCAATGGTAGATTTCCTTTTTCATTTTAGCTGACAAGATTACATATCTTAATTATTATTATTATTATTGTGTTGTATTTATTTTAATTTCATTCAGCTTCTATCTATTATTGTATTTTCTACACATACTTTTATTAATTTCCTTATTTTATTTACATTGTTTCTTTTTATTTATTTTTTCTATTTTAGTTAGTATTAATGCTATTCAATGTGGCAGAATGTATTAATATTCAATTAATACGTTAATGTGTTATTGCCATTAAACGTTAACTAATTAAAAAAATTAATTTTTAATTATAAACTGAATACATATACATACTTACTTAAGCCCATATGGACGTACTCATCACAAATATACGGCATCGCTAAAAAGACCCACCTACAAAAACTTTAAACTTTCCAATCAAAATTATTGCGAGTTATAACTAAAGCACCTTGGTATGTGACTAACAAAACTCTACATACTGACCTCCACATTCCAACAGTTGGCCAACACATAACGATCCTTTATCAACGATTTTACACAAATTTAAATGGACATAATAACAGACTAATAAGAGACAACACAAGAGACTAAAAAGGCGTTGGATGAGAACTCTCCTTCCTTAAACAACTTCAGTAATTGGAACAAGTTAGGGAAGAGGTACTGCTGAGTACTTTCCTTCCCCATGCCTGTCATGTCATTATTTCATGTATCGCCATCACATTTGCTGATTGTCAACAGTAAGTTGACAAATACATCTTTTATAGACAAAAAAAAAATCATAATTAAAAATTAAGATGGATATAAATTAAAATGCCGAGGGTAATATATTTATAACCTTATATATTTATATCTTTTATATAATTTTCAAAAAAGCAATCTTATGTTCCTTATTTATAAAAAATCAATTGCGGCTCAAATTTTTCCTCATGAGTACTCTTCAATAAGCGATGGGGGAAGAGTTTCTTCCGCGCGGACTGTGTAGAGAAATTTAAATATTAAGAAGTGTAATCATTGCTATTTCGATGCGTTTCAGCTCGATATTATTACAGTAGATTTTTCCAAACCGACTCCCGGGACAGATTCATTATTATTAACTACCGTTGCCAGCATTGACCTGGTAAGTCGATTTTTAATGTTTGGTTATTGAATGAGGATTTTTTTTTGTGGTTGGCTTAATGAGCTCCAGAAAGTTTTCAACCACTTCACAAATTCAAGATCTAATCTAAGCTACTTGAATTCGCACACCTCAGTGTTCCAAAACGCGACTATCCCCCAGGTCTATGACCCGAATGCACATTTAGGACAGGTAGGTTTCACCGAACTGCGCAAACAATTCATCCGGCGCCAGTTCGTCCCATGCCCTGCGTTCAATACTTAGAGCTATTGATATTGTTGGTAGAATAGTCTTTGTCTTAGGATCACCGTTAAGCAATCAGAGAAGTATTGTTGTCTGGGTTGGTATTGTCCGGGGGTGTGAGGCTGCATGTTGATTGTCTCTGGTCTTGGTTACGCCAGTGTGTCCTCTCATCTGCATGTGTAAATAGGATCCTCAATAGAAACAAAGTTAAAGGATTTTTTCTTTTTTTTTTTTTTTTACTGTTTAATGTAAGCACCAGTTATAATGTTTTTCTTATATTTTCAAAACATCTACTACGAGTAGTACTTTTTAATTTAGAATTATTCATCCTTAACATACAAATCCACCTCAGAATTATTTGGTCCATTATTTTATAATTCATTTAACATTACTAATAATTCCTTTATTCTTTTTTGTACGATTTAGGTAATTTGGTGAGAGAAAGTATTACCCACGGATCATACATAACGGTCATCCAGCCCGGAGGACCATTTTGTTCGATATTGGCGATTTGTTGAGAGCCAAATATTACCCACAGATCTGATAATTGTATTTTGAGTCCAAAATCAGTCGATTGATGTCTAATTTGGAGTGGACTTTATATGGATTGGATATTTGATGTTCACTGAAATTAAGCATTTTTTAAAACAAATAAATTATATTGAATTTAATTAAAACGAAAAAAATAAATATTTGTGCCCTTTGATCGATTTCAGGAATGAAAATAAAATTATAAATGAAAAATATATATACAATTTTGCCTTTATGAACTGCATTGTTGGTAATGTCCTTTTATTTGCTTCAGGCGGAAATTAGGGTATACATTTTGACTCACTTGGTATTTGGGATTATTATGCTGTTCCTGACCTCTCCTACCTTCCTCCACCAGGTTGTTTAACTTGGTTTATTAGAATATTATAACTGTGAATTTATAGTGAATAGTATAGTGAATTTAATTTGAGGAAGGTTCTCGTACTGCAAATCAATTCTATATGGGAACTAACAACAAAAAATTAAAACTAAAATCTACAAAACTAAACCGAATTCGTAGTAAACATAATTGAATTATGCTATTGCAATTATAATTGATGTTCTTACAATATGTACTTTCCTGATCTCCGTTATGTAGAAACATATTCATCAAAATCCGACCTTAAACCAAATGATTGATAGGATTTATAAAATTATCAACTATAGGTAAATGTCCACTAAGAGAAACTTCACTGTACATTATGGTCACCGTTACCCCCGAGGACTGTAATAGAACGGCATGGTATTAAAGACTATTATTTTACTTGATTTTTTTTAAAAGAATTTATCAGATGTAGTTTAAGTTAAATTAAGTATTTACTTATTTTATAATAGGGAAGATACGTACTCCTCAATGATCCTCGGGAGTGACCGAAGGGAGGAAGATAAGGAGAGGAACTCCATTAGAAGAACACAAGAACCCACTAACCGTATATCATCCAGCCTCTGGCCCCGCTCGAGTTTTTTTCCTTTTTAATGAGAAGCCGCCCTCCCCCCTCCTATATCTTGGCTCTATCTTGGAGGAATTTCAGCATCTCCTATCCCTCGTATTCTTTATCGTCCTGTCCTGCGTATCCTTCATCCACGGGGGTCTCCTTTTATTTTCAATTCTCGTCTCTGTATAAGGCATTTCCTTAAGGACCGCTTTATGGAGCTCGGACGTTCTGTCACTGTCCTCGAACGTCTAAGAGATAAAATACCAAAAATATTATTAAGGCACTCAAACAGAGAGGCTTTTAGTCCCTTTTATCTTTTTAAAAATAAAAGAGCGATGATATTAAACATCGGGTTTAATATTATAAATACATATTCCGTATGTAGAAGAGAATAAATAAATACGGAGCGTGGCAGAATTTTATTTAAAAAACGAACAGGAACTTTCTTATTAAGATGGTGAAGATACACGCCATCAGGCTTGAGACCGAAGAGAGGGGTTTGCTACCTGGAACGAACTCATCATTTCCAGCTGTCATCGGTCGGTAAATAACTCCAGGCTACCTTCTACTTCTGTTCCTAATTACATATAGTTAACATAATATAAATTAGTAAATAATATTACTGACATTAGTGTAATTATGTAGGTTAAAACGTAGTAAAAAGAGCCATAGGAAAATTAATTAAGTAAATAGGGAACAGTAATTTTTTACTTATCTATATATGAAACTTATATTCTAGTTATGTGTAAAAATTATTGCAATCATAAAAAAAATTTGATTCCGAATTTTCAACGAAAATATAATTTTGATGGTCTGAGACTCGCAAAAATCCTCAATAAAATAATATTCTGTTTTTTTTATTTATGCCTGGGATGTCGTTACTGCGTTTTCATATATTAAAATCGACTCTCACGGTTTGCACTAATAAGAAATAGATAAATAGTATCAGTAAATAAATAAAAGATTATCTGTACATTTATAGTTAATTTCGTACTATTTTAAACATTCAACTATTAACAACGAAGATGTTTCATGTTGATCGTTAACTATCTATTTCCAATATGAAAATGATTCTGGAACTATTTTGAAAAAAATCATATATAATATAATTATTATAATTATAATTGTTTGGTCTTATCAATTAATCTTAGAATTATATTTTCAAGCTAAACACTTTAGGTGGAATAGTTACTACCTATTTGAAATATGCCTTTATATTTCAGTAGATTTAAGGAACTGCTCATTGATAATAGGTCATTGCTTCTTTAAAAAAAAAAAAATTAAAGAGGGGTGTGTTTTTCCTAAAAACCCTATTGTGCAAGAGTATTCTTTTTTTATCCTTTGAGTATAGTTTTTAGTCAATTAAATGATTATTTACTTATTTTAAAAATACTCTTCAAGTTTAGTTTACGGGTTACTCGAAATTGCCAATGAATAATTTATTACACTTACTATTCACTCAACAATTAAAATCTTCTTTCCAAAAACGATTTTGCCCAAAACGTGAACTGAGTATTGTTCTGTTTCAAACCTATTCTAAAGAAGATTTTCTTTAATATTACTGTTAGTTGATTACTAATAGTTGAACACATATGGTTTAAGGCAAAACAGATCTGGATCGATCCATAGATTACGAGTACACAAGCAGAAACTGGAATCATGTCGCTGGCTGAATACATTACAGATCCGATACCCCGACCTGCGACCGTTACCCGACAAAGACCCCCGCCTGGGAGACCCCATTATCCGCGAAGAGGCCTACAAAGAGACGACACGGAGACTCCACGATGTCTGCGAACCCCTCTGCCTCTCATTACTGCCGCACCGACGTTTCGTATGCAAATAGCACTACTTCATCAGGGCTGCAATAAAACGCCCGTGGCCAGGTGGGTCCTCTCATTACCATAATACACAGCTCGGGGGAGCTTTGTGTCTCGTATTGTCTGTCTGTCTGTCTATTGGGGCTCATTTATCATGGCTCATGAAGTACCGTTCGGAATAGGTTCGGTACACCCTGTGTGTTCTCGTTTACGTTATAAATTGCCCTCATATCAAAGCTTTAAATTGATGGTATCAATCTATTGATTTGCAAAATCTGATCTATTCCATTATCATTACACTGGTATTTTATTACCCAACGACGGAGAAGCAACAGGAAGTTTGTGTTTGGGTTGTCCTCTTAAACATCTATAATTATTTTCTGAACGAACGACTAGAACGATTTTTAAGTTTTATGACTCAAATTATGATTTGAGATTCTTCGAGTATTTTGAAGTAATTTTCGTTTAAACACAAATCAATTATTATATAAAAGGTGATTTGGTCAAATCGCTAAAATAAATGTAAAGATTTCTGAGCGAACAGATGAACTGATTTTTAAGTTATATGGTTGGAAACATTCAGTCCGATCTTGGGAATGCTTTAAACTATTTATTGAAACTAGCGTTGGTTTTATATTATTATCATGTGTTAGATCACAATCATTTGTGTTGAATATAAATTATTGTATTGAAAAACTAAAATGGTTAAATAAAAAAAAAACTAATGTGTGTACTTTAGACTACACCATAGAAGTGGAAACATCAACAAAGCGAGATTAATGATATGAAATATAAATTATAAATAATATCTCATGACTTAGAGAATGAAATGCTGAATAATTCCCTTGCTTAAAGTATGCTGGTCCGATTTTTAATTTCTGAGATATTTTAATCTATATCTTCAATAAAACTCGTTATCATTTGGTTTTCGACACCATTTTTTCTCTTTTCGCCTCTATAACAAGACCTTGCGTTAAGATACAATTTTGAATAATAGTCCATTACAAAGAGGATGAAATGCTGAACAATTCCCTCGCTTACAGTATGCAGGTCCGATTATTAGTTATTGAGATATTTAAATCCATATGCAAAAACACTCCAATTACTCCCTCCCGCCGACTTTACTCGAGTGTTACACATCAGAAATCTGACGGTTCAATCCAATTCACAAAAAAGTGCGAAATGCGCCTGAAGTAGTTGTCATTTCAAAAACACTATTTTAATTTTTTAAAAATGCATGCCACATATTTCTTAAATTAGTTTGGTTTTATATTTAGTATATCTCTAATCTACGCAATTAACAAATGAATTCTAGAATAAAGAAAAAAAATAAATAAAATTTTAAGAACGTATAAACTAAAAATTCATAAATAAATAAGAATAATAGCTATCAGGAAATTGCACACAGACCTCTTTCCACTGCGTCCCATCAAAATCAAAATTATAACTTTTTTCTCATTTCGTTCTCCGCTATATCACAATTTTAATTACTAGATCACACAATTACGCGTTGAATGTACTTCCGATCTTAATCATTTATTATTCGGAATATTCAATAAAGTACTTCATTTTCAAAAACCTTTAGTCTTTGTTCTTTTCTTAATTCGTGTGATCACATTGACAAATCTTGATAGAAGTCGCAAACTAAGTTGTTATATCAAGAATACAATAACATAAGTAATGTTTACGTTTTCACAGAGAGGAAATTCTTCTTAAAACGTAGTAATTTAATTGTATGAAATATTAACTAATGACTTTTAGCAATATACCAACCGATTAGTTTAACATTTATTCATTTATTTATCTAACGGCTCTCCCTCCTTCTCCCCCCCTCTCTCTTCACGAATCTAATTTGTATAGTAATCTCAGCATGAGAACCGATGTAGTACAATCATCTGCTCGCTGATCTATCGATAAGCAAATTGTTCAATTACAGGGAAATCTATTATCTCTGGGGCTAATGATATCATTGTGTCTCTAATATCCCTAATTCATCTTGAGAATTAAAGATATCATCTTTAAATTAATGAGCGTATTACCGAGAACGATAAGTTAATAATCATAAAATGTTTGTTGTTATTATAGTTATTATACGACATAGTAAATAAAAATAGAAAAATAATTATGACTTATTTTAATTTGTTTGTCATTGTAAAAATATTTAATTTAAAACTACATTAATTAGTTTTTAGTTTTTAAGTATTTATTTTGTTAGAGTAGTTTAATTTTGTTTAGTTTATATACATTTACGTTTAGTATTATTTTATTGATGTTTATTACTTTTATTTATTGTGCATAGTATGAAGGAGCTACTCTTTATCACTATTACCATTGTTCTTGAATGTGACAGATTGTAATATATCTCAATAAAGAAAATTCCTAAAAATTTAAAAGTACAGCCGGCGTATTTTGTAATTCCGCATTCACATCGAAGTTTACCGCGTTTTTGCTGACAAATATTGATAAATTTTCGACCATATTACTGAGTGACATTTGTTTTTAAACAATTTTCCTTGCAATCAAAATTTCATTCAAGCTTTCGATTAAAAAAAAACTCAGCATTTGTTATAAACTTTCATTACACCAACATGTGATTGCAAAATTAACTAAGTTGAATCTCACCTCTAAATTGCCGATTAGTCTGCAAAAAGTTTTGACGGATCAGATTTTTTGGGAATGTTTTTGTCAACTTCGACGTTTTTTACCGATAAAAACAAGGTACGTGCACAAAAATGATCCAAAATCTTTTATTTATCCACACATAGATAAAGCATGGGCACAGATGATTTTTATGATTTTACAAAATTTCATCAAAATTCTTAGTTATTTAAGGTTATGAAATGCCACTTAATGTCTTTTTTAAATAAACTGACATATGCCCTTTTAATATGGAAAATTCTCAAAAATATTTAAAATGTTAGGCTAATAGTACGATTTAAAATATGTAATGGTTTTCTTCTGTCATTCAATTTAACTAGAACAATAACTACATTAAAAAAAAAAAGAACTATATTTACATCAGCGGTGTAGTATTTAAAAAGTAAAAAACAAATATTATTTTATAATTCAATTAGTTCTTTACCGTAACATATTAATCCAAATTTTGATTTTCAATTTACTGAGCTTTGTAAATATAATTTTAAATAATTTTTTTTATTTTGCTATTTAACAATGAGGATCTACAGCCATAGTGCACTTACTTCGCCTCCATTAGATTTCAATAGTTAATAAATATCTACTTATTATATTTAATCTATATATCATTATTTTTATAGATTAAATATAATATTTATTAAAAAATCTCACAAAACAAATGTGAATAACCTAAATGAAATTGTTTATCATAAATTTTTTACAATAGTGGAACAATTAAGTAATCAATTTCTACATAAGTTATTAAAATTTTTAGTTTAATTTTAATTATATTTATTTATTTTTCCCATTAATATATTTATCTATTATAAACACAAGATATTATTCAATTTATTAATATTTTCTGTAAATTTGACTAAATTTAGTAAAACCCATTAATATACGTTAATTTTTTTTTTATTTTATTTGTTTATTTAGAAATATTACATTCTGTCGCATCAAGGACAAATTATTTTTGAAAAAAGTGATATACAAAAACTTCTGAATAGATTAGGCAAACTCAATATTATTTTTTATGCGAGATTGTTTGATTTATTTTATAGTGATAATATAATTTCGTTCAATATAAAAAGCTGTGTTCCGTAGTAGGAATTTTAAAAATGTTAGTATCGTTATAAGAATTGTTTATATAAATGAAAGGATACATATCTCTTGAAAGAATTAATGTTTGGAAAGTTTTTACTGAATACAAGGAATAGTTTTCTCGAGAACCGGAATCTAAATCAACGTTGCGGGACTAAATTTAGTGGGCACAGAACGTACCCTATGATTTCTGGAAATCAGCATTGTAAACTAGAAGCAACTATTTTTAGTAGACCTGGAAATTCCCTGGTGGAGTCTGAAAGAACAAAACAAATTCGTCTAGTAGATAGCTGCCTTGTGTGTGTGTTAATTTTAGAAGATAACAGTATCCTGTTGTTTTAGGGAAACTATTACATTTTAAATATTATTGAATAATAAAATATTTTTTTAAATACATATTTTTTTCCTGACCAGTACGACCATTAAAAAAATGATAAACAAAACCTTGTTGGATACAATTTTTTTTTACAAAATATTTTTAAAATTCGAGTCTTAACTATTTTGGCAAGTCCATCCATTAGACATTACTAGGTTTCCCCCTAATCCATTACGGTATTAAGTATCGATATTAAAATTATCGATGCATGGATATTTTTGCAACATTCCTATCTGATTTGCTGTCTGACATGCTGAAGGAAAGGCTTATTGTTTAAAGTTTTTATCATACTGTTTCGGAATATTTGTAAAGCAGCTATCATACATATATTAATTGTCGAATTTGTTGAATTGTTATTGTCAAATATAATTTGTTAAAATGATGAGTGAGAACACCGTCGGTTTACTGCTAAAAGTCAATAAATAGATTTTTAATAGAGTTGAACTCTCGAGAACGTTTTTGTGGATTCTTACCTTATTTAAAAAAAAAAAAACATTTACCACTACAACCCATGAAGAGTCTTAGGTTCTGTACCTTGTTAGGGAGTACTGTTTCAAGGACGACGATAATGCGGGGTGGTGATTAGGCCTGGATCACGCTTAACTGCCAGGTCATCTTAATTAATTACATAATAAAGAATACCCAATTTATGGAGGCTGGGTATGCCCTAGAAGGGTCTCCCGACCGCACGATCGATCCACAGCTGAAGAAAAATTACCTGTCATCAGCCGGATTCGAACCCAGAACCTCAGGAAATCAGTGCCCTCCCCACTGACCTACACTGCCCTCATATTTATCCCATATATATATAACCTTATTTATTACGTCATAATCTGTCCTGACTTTATTTACCGATAAAAAAAGAAGACAAAAATGATACAAAACCTTTTATGCTCAAATACAGTTACAACAAACGCGTAATTTCATGATTTCACAAAAGTTATTAAACATTATAGTGATTTCAGGTTATGAAATGTCACACACTTACTTTTTGCAATCAAAATGTTGAACCATGTTTAATTTTTATATTTATTTTTATAAAATACTGTACGTAAGAAAGGGTAACTTTGGGATAGCGGGTAAGTATTAGTTTAAGATGATTCTATGGTGTGGTCTGCAAAAACATGCTTTGTTGGCATTTACTACTGGGATACTACCTTGCGGCACAATACTCATGAAGCACTAGCGAAAGTTTCATGAAAACAGGAATTTTGAAAAAAAAAAAAAAAAACCAATGGAAATAAATAAGATTGTAGAGCAGTAAATGCCTACAAAAAACAATTTTTTGCAGAATGAACCAACACAGTTTATCTACCACGGAATCACCTCAAACTAAATTTTACCCCGCTGTAGCAAAGTTACCCACCTAGTCCCAAAGTTAACCCATCTTACGGTACCATGTTCTTTTTTCTTCATTTAACACTTATTACATTCTTATACTTATATTGGTTTTCTTTTTTATTCTTTTCTTTCTTCCTCATCTTATGCTTATACTAATCAAGTTATCTCTCTTTTGCAGGTAAGCGTTGTGGTACATATCTTCTCGATCCGACCACCCAGGTTAGCACTCATTACACTCCCTTAGCAAGCAGACAGAACGGAATGCATGGAATCTCCCCTCCACCCCTCTCCCTTGAAGCTGGCACAGATAGATAATTACAGTAATGTTACTCCCACTGCCCTTCGCCGGCTCACTTACACGTCCAATTACAATCAAATGCATCCAATCTCATGCGTATCCTTTCCTGTTAGCGTTCATCGCTCTATTTGCAGAACCAATCAGTTCCGAAATTAGGATCAGCGGAGTTCGATTTGTTTTTAGTCTTCATTTTGTTGTGTATGTACGTAATCTAATGGACATCATTATTTCCAAGTCATCAAACGTAATTACTGATAGTCTTTTGCTATACTGATTCTATTCTAGTTTTATTTGTATTTGTTCTGATTCAGTTGAAGCATGGATCTTTCCTTGTATAGTTGTTGGTATAATTTAATGGTTTACTATATATTTTCAATATTGTATGGTGCAGCTCCAGTTATCCGAATCGTCTGTAATTTTCTAAGATATACATTTCCCGATGCTAATTTCCGAAAATCCCCGTTAGTCTTTCAAATTAAAATAAAAATAAAATTTTTTGTACTTTTTTCTTTAGTTGGAAAGTTTATTATAAGGTTAGCAATGAAAACTTCCATTATTATATGTTATATTTCACACAATACTCATGATATCGTTTCGGAATTGTATCCCATCCATAGAGTTTTTTTCTTGCATTATAATTATTAAAATGCATGTATAATTATGAATATATATTGTTATTAGTTAACATTAGTAAGTTTTTTAGTTATAATTACCGATTTAATATGCGTGCTCCATTTGTCAGATTTAGGTATCACAATTTCTTCATCCTCTATTTATTAGGGCAACTTATTCACCTAACCAACAATTGGTCAGCTTTAACAAGTATTAGAGTTTATCTTTGTACTTACACCATACTGATTATTCTGTTTCTTTATATGGATGTATGTTTGTTTTGTCATTAAATTTTCTAGGCTCTTACAAACTTTCCGAGGCTACTTTCCGATAATCCCCAGGAGTTTCAAATAAAATTATTATTATATTATTATGCAAAACCAATGTTATTATTGGACGATTGTTATTGCCCTCTTCTTCATAATATGTACCATTATCATGTTATTGACTTATCGGTTGGTTTAGTTTTTTTTTTTTTATATTTTTATATTTTCTATCTATTTTTTAGCTGTAGTATTGTTAAAGAATTATAATAATAAAAATAAGAATGTTTATTCATTTTTACACTTTAAATTTTTTCAAATACATGGAAACCTTCTCAAAAACCTGAGATGTCTAAAATTGTTGTGTTTGGATGATGAAGAGATTTCTATTGTAGGAGAACATAATTATAGACAATCTACATAATAATTATTTAAATAACAATACTTTTACGGGAAATATTAAGATTTAATTGACTTTTAAATGCTTACAATTCCTTTTTATCTTTGGAATCTTCCTTTGTTGTTTTTATGTATTTTTTCCCTCTTATTATGCGTTCCGAGTTCGCATCACTTTATCTCCACATTTTTTTCTTCTTCCTTCAAAAGAGCTATTTCCTTGCTTATAAAGAAAATTATCAATTCGCTCTTATCTAATTATATATTTTTTTCCTAGTGTTGCCATTATTTCCTTAAAAAGGAACATCATTTTATGAAAACATCCATTTTCATTGCATTGTTATCATGTTTGCTATCTTGGATTAAATTTTTATCTACATACTCACATAGCATTTGAGCTATGAATGCCAGGGTATTCCAATAAACAGATAAGTTTTAGAACAAGTTCGACATCCTGTGTCCAATTATAACGAGACGAACAGATATAACGCACGGAGAATTATAAAAATAAAGAAATGAAAGGTTGCCAATTGAGATTAAACTTCCTGACTAGAAATTTTTAATATCTATGTTCATAAACAAACTTATGAGTAATGACAATATGTGAGAACTCGTAACTTTTTTGTAGCTGATCCTAAAGCCTCATTTAGAAGATGACAGTTTTCTTAGTTGCAGTATTGCCGTGGCAGTGTCTTTATTTGCAAGGAGAAATTAAACCACTGGTGACAGTTGAAAAAAATTTGGTCAACTTTGCGCTTCACACGACGTTCACTTAACAGACTACTTTAAATATAATTTAATTTTTAGTAAATTAATAAACTTTAAGAATAATACATAATCCTGTTCATTATTTATTTTCGGTGTGTTGGAAAAAAAAGTGTGCCAAATGAATATCTGCTGGTTTCAAACCATGGATATTAAAAGTTTTAAATTCTTTTCAATGGAAACTGTGTCTAGTTTTAAGGAAAGGCCTAAAATTTAAGTAAAAATTATTTTGTGCTTAGTTTTTATTCACTCACTATTATCTTTGATTTTTGACATTAAATACTCATTTTTCTAAAATATTTAATTCCCATACGATGTATCATGCTATATATATATATATATATATATATATGTGTATATATATTTTTTTTCTTTTTTCCGGGAACTTATTTGCAACCTGTGAAAATATTTCTTGAATTCTCCTTTATTTATTAAATTATCAATATCTTTCACAGTTAATTTTTATCCATTTTGTATTACGTCTTGTAATGAGAGATCTATACATTATTTCTAAAATTAATGATAGTTTAGAGGAAGAAATTTTGAAAATTTAGCATTTAATCTCCATACAGACCCTGCCACAAATACCGTTTTGTGGACTTAGGGGACCTTTAACGTTTATTTCCGTTAAAAAAAGTGGATTCGAATTTTCACGATAGCAATATTTTCTCTTTTATTGCATTAAATTTTTGTAGGAGGAAAAACAGATAACTTTGAGTATGAGATTTATTGAAATTAGGTTGAAATTTTTTAATTTTGGATTTATGGTTGACTGTAGTGAACGATTGAAGAGAAGAATGGTTGGAGTGATCAGTCAAATTGAAATGGTAAAAAATAAATAATTTTATTTATTTTTACATCAGCCCTAATAAAGGTCTGAACTTCGGGGCGAAACTACAGCGAATGTAAAAATACCATTTCAATTTGATTGATCACCCCTTCAGTTGACATTTTTTTCTTTTATTCTTTAGACTGTAACGATCTTTTTTTTATTTTATTTTTTATTTATTGATGATATTTACAACTGTATTACAAGTAAAAATACATTCAATAAATGTGAACAAAGGAATAAAATAGCATGAAATCACATGTTGAGAAACTACCCATTGGAAGCACTCTAAAAATGTATTTACAAAAGGAGATCTCGAGGCCATCTTCTTTTCAGACGCCTCGGAGAGTAACGATCTGAATTAGCTTGTGCATTCGTGGATACATATTATGTTGAAGACTAATAATCTTAATAATAACTAATTTTAATTAAAAACATTTCTATAATTTTAATATTAACCATAAATAAAATTAAAATTGTTTTTTTTTTCCTAAACAGTTACTTAGACCTTTTGCTGTATGTGCAGGCATAGTTATTTTCGGTATTGATACCACTTTGTTTCTGAATTTATGTATTGTAGTATTAAGAAATGAACGAAGCCAAGTTGGAATTCTTTTGTTTCATTTTTATTAGATTAATTATTCCTACCGTCTATAGATTGACTAAAAACCTAATTAATATCGATTCATTATTAAAGTTTCCTATAAGATACAATGAAAAAGGAGAACTTGCAGAGGTATTGTAGTTGGACAAAGAGTGCAGGTAGGAGTCTCTATTGTTCTAGGGGGAGCATACCTTAGTCTATACCTCCCCTGCATTCTTGTATTCTCTTCTCTCGCAATCCATATTCAATATATATACATTTATATATCTGCTTAAATATACATCGTTTATATATATGAGAAAGTCATGTCTCATGATTATTAGGTAATTTTAGAAGAAAAAAAAATTGAGAATGTAGAATATTTTAAACGATATTGCCACAATTGTTTATGACTTGTTCTTGTAAAAAAAAAATTAAATTCATATAATTTGTATTTAAAGGCCTCTCCTTCTAAAGAGGATAACTACTGTTTTGAATTAATTTTAATACATTCAATTATGGCTTCGTATCGCAACAGGATAGTTAATTATAGATTAAACTCATAAAAGTACTTGTACACATAAAAAAAATGTTTATATTTATTTATAAACCTGTAGGTTGCATAATGGCCCATAATGTGAAGATCGCATTCCTTCCACTGAACCAACTAATTGTGTTGGCGGTGTATCATTTACTTTGACGCACGATCTCCATTTTAGTTCTTCTTACATTTTTTAAAATATTTTCGGAATAAAAAGAATCCTTATATAGCTACATTATAATGTTTATAAAGTTGAGTTTTTTAATTTTCTACTATTGTAGGAAATACAGAAAAAAAAGTTAAAATGTTGCTTGAAAATTATTTAAAAAGAAATCTGAATGTTTCGTAACAAGCTTATTTGGAATGAAACTGTTCCTGAAGTTTCATAATAATTCATAAGTACCATTATTTATGAGATATGTAATCAATAATGAAGAGAAGGATGGTTAAGAGGATCAGTCAAATTAAAATGGCAAAAATAAATAATTTTATTTATTTTTACATTCGCCGACGTTTCGGCCCGAAGTTCAAGCCTTCATCGGGGCTGGGAAAAAGAACGTTTTTGGCCAAATTTTAAGGGCGTTTCTGCCAGCTCTCCTCCCTCCCGCTATAATTGTGTCTGCCTGTTTTTATTATCTTGTATATACAGGTTTGTTTATTTTTATTATCTTAGTATTCTCCTTTTCTTCGACCTTCCCGTCACCCTGTTTTCTCTATCTCCATCTCTATTTTCTATATACGATACATTTCCTCATACATCTCTTTTACATTATATTTTTCGATGGACTTTACAATATCTTAATGTTCTATTTATATCTATTATTTCCTTACAGCTATATAGACTACTAAGCAGACCATCTCATCTTTCGATTGAAAATAAACGCTTAATCTACAAGACCATACTGAAACCTATTTGGACCTATGGGCTTGAACTGTGTTCAACTGTGAACTGTGAGGAACTGCTAAATATTGGAATACCAAACGCATCTAATCCTCCCAGTCCAAAGTACTTAAAACATTAGTCGATGCCCAATATTATGTCACAAACAAGACTTTACACCATGACCTTAACATCCCATTTGTCCTTGACAAATTTCTGACAAACTTCATATTTCTTTTCTCTGTTTTACACTTTATTCTACATTTTATCATGCTTATTTCATTGGCCGGTGCTTTGTTACCGTTATTATTGTTTATTTCTTTGTTCTCTGTTACTGTTAAATTCTACGTTGTTTTCAAAGTATTCATTT